CTCGTATGATGTCTTATCCAGCTTTTTGTGAAGAGCCCGGTTAAGAATAAAACAAGCAGAAACTGCAGCTTCCCCTTACATATCATTAGATAAACCAGAACTTAATAGCATGAAATTTATCATGTCTTTTAAAGTTCTATTTTTCCGTTAAGCTATTTCGTTCTATTGAGGTGAATATGAAGCAGTAAATTCATGTAGAATTCCACTTGATTCACAAAAATCTCTAAGTGAATTATCACTATATTCACCACCCCTATCTGATCTTATCCTTTTTATCTTTCTGTCTAATTTGTTTTCTACTTCAACTTTGAATTTCAAAAACATACTACTAGCTTCATGTTTAGATTTTATGAGATATATTTTTGTATATCTAGAAAAAATCATCAACAAAAGAAATATAGTAATTTTTTCCACTACTGCTAGTTGTATTTTTGAAATTAGCTGAATCATAATAAATTAATTATAGGAGTTCAGTACACCTTGCAGTGACAGGTTTAAAAGATTTTTTTAGCAAACTTTGCTTCTACATAGATAGGACATTTTGTAGTTTTAAGCAAATCAGTAATATTAATTAAATTTAAAGTTCTAAGCCTTTTAATCGATGTAATATTTATATGCTCTAATCTACCATGCCACACATGAAGAGACTCAACAATATAAGCATAACTAGAATTAATTTCTTTTGAAGTAGTATTGAGAACAAACAAACCATCTATTAAATAGCCCTTACCAACAAAGTCACCATTTTTTGTGATAATAACCTTGTCGGCCTCAAACACAATCCTAAGTCTGACTCGATTCAGTAGACCTCCTGACACCAAATTCCTACGTAGGGAAGGAACATACAACACATCACTTAATGATAAAGTTTTGCGTGAGTTTCAAGAGAACCTTCCCTTTCCCAAGTACTCTAGTTGTGGCAGAGTTCCCCATAAAAGCACATTCACCATCAGCGGAGTCCTGAAAGTCATGGAAGAGGTCACAGTTCGAGCAGAATGTATGGACGCTCCTATGTCAAGAATCCAGTTGGATTTGTTCTCTACCAAATTTGCTTTCACAACCATAGCGGCAGTGATGTCGTCCGTCTCTGCAAGGTTGGCTTGTGGAGTAGCCTTTTGAACTTTCCTATCTTTCCTCTGAGTATACTGATAGTTGTGCCCGGGTTTTCCACAGCAGTAACATACTAGTTTGGATTTCTCGATTCTTCCACTAGTGTTTTTTGGTTGGAAACCTTTATTCTTTTTAGCTATATACCTTGCAATTTGCTTCGCTTTGTTCTTGAACCTATCTTTGGAAGCACCTAGAAAATTTAACTAAGTTAGCTTTAACAAAATTTAAGGATTGGGAAGAGATCTTATCCTTTAGCCTGTTGGCTTCCTCCGTGCCCACGTAACTGATAAGTTATTGTAGAGTCAGGTCCTTATTCTTATATTTCAGGTGTTTGCGATAATCACTCTCGGAAGGAGGGAATTTCTCGAGCAATGCATTGACCTGAAAAATCTCGCACATCTTCATGCCTTTAGACAGAAGATTTGCCACTAGGTTCTCGTACTCATGAACCTGATCCATCATCAGTTTGTCGTCTGACATTTGAAATTATAGCTATTTACCGGCAACGTACTTCCTGCCTGCATCGTCCCCACCATATGTAGACTCTAACGTGTCCTAAATGACCTTTGTAGATTTTTGGACTACAAAGAGATCAAAGAGAGGGTAGTTCATATGGTTGAGAAGATGCCCATGAACCGTTTTGTTATCTTTCTCAAATTTGTCAGCTTCGACGATAGCAGTAGTAGACTTCCCGGGATCAACAACAACAACTGAAATGGTGGCAGCAGCAATGACAGGCAAATCAGTGACGACTACAGTGATGGAAGCTGCAGTGGCAGCAACGGTAGCAGTGACGGTGGTAGTGGTGGCAACGGTAGCGACGGCGACGGCGACGAGCTGAGTAGTAGTGGGGATGTAATTGATCTCCAACTACTCAAGAAAATCAGTAACTTCTGTGACCATGAGCGGTAGCTAGATCCATAAAGTGGTTCCAATTTTGACAAGTCCACAGGACCTTCCCGATCGGATAGCAGCCATGGGTAGATGAGATTTTTGCTTTCAACTTGTTGGAAAAGAATGCAAAAATGGAACCGTATGCAAATAATTGTGTTGTGTCGTGGACAGGACCACTGCCTTAAAAGTAAAATCGACACGACCTTGGTGCTAAATCGTTGTATTGCCAGAATGCTTCCTAAGGTTAACACAACCTCCAACTCAGACGTGCACTCGTAAAAAAGGAGTGGAATCAAACTCCCTCAGAAAATTCTTAAAGAAAACATAAATTGAATAGAAAGAGAGAGAAGATAATGAGATGATGAAATAGTGGAGGGAAAAACTTAATTTATAGCGATGGATAGGTCCATAATAGAAATTTAATTTGTAAAAATAAAAACTTCAAAAAATTTAAGGCTTTCCATTTGTCCCTTGACTACCACAAATCTCTCCATCCTTGCTAACTATCATATTTATCCTTCCGACTCAGGTTGTTCATGATGTTGAGCGGATTCTGCGTTCTTTCCTATGGAAGAGGCGTGAGAGTGAGCGATCGGGGACTAAGGTGGCTTGGTCTGATGTGTGTATTCCTTTGCGGAAGGGTGGTTTGGGTGTGCGTCACCTGGAATCTTGGAATTCTGCAACTATAATGAAGCTGATCTGGCTTTTCTAGCTCTCTTTGAGTAGCTTGGGAGGAGGCTTATATTTTTTGGGGATTGTATTTGGACTGTTCCTGCTTCCCCTTCGCTCTCTTGATGTTGGCGAGATATTCTTTCTGTATGGGATGTTTTTCGGCCTCTGGTTCAGTTTGCTATTGGAGATGGTAAGCGTTGTTTTGTGTGGCATGATGTTTGGCTTTCGGGGCGTCTAATTTATCCGAGGTTTGGTGATCAGATTATCTATGATGTTGCAAGCTCATCCAGGCGAAGGTTGAAAAATAAGATAAACACATAATGTTTATTTTTGTAACACAATTAATACCAAAAAAAAAAAAGTTCTACCTCAATAGAAACTCATACGGTTGACATCTCTCTTCTTTACCCTCCGCCACTCCCCACCCCACTTACAGCATTGTCAACCACCTTGTTGTTCCACCATTGTATCCCTTGCTCCCTTGGTCATTTTCATCCACTCCCTACCCCACTTACAACTATGTCACCTCCACAGTTGTCTCCCTTGCTTAATTCCGTCCATTCCTCGCCCAATTCCCGTCCATTTCTATTGTCTCCCTCACGATACCCATTGATCGTGTCTCACTTTGTGTGCTGTCCTCTTTGAGTTATGGTATGTTATTTTCAAATATATATTTAAGAGTGAGATAGATGGTTTCTAAAATCTAGGAGAGGAAATATAGGAAAGAGAGATAATATAATAACAAACAGATTTGAGAATCTTTGTCAAAATCAAATCTGTAAAATAGTTGGAAAAATTGGAATGGATATTTTTTATTAACAAAAACTATTTGACCATGTTTCAAAACCAAGTGATAAATAGGGAACCTACTATCATAATCTTTTTATAATTTTTCTTCACACCTTGGTTTCTAGACTTTAAGTGGTATCTCTGTTGGGCCCATAACTATGGCTTCGGGCTTGAGGCTTGTCAAGCCCAAATGGGACATAATTCTTCAAAAGTTAAAGTTGGTCTATCGGTAGAAATAGATGATACTACAAGACCTACGCCCTTGCCAATGAAACTATCCCTTGGAGGCGAGGTAAGTTATATTATAGTGTAAATATATTAAAAACGAAGTAAAGAAAATCAACGCAACAAACCAACCTAACAAAAAAATTACTAAATTCAAAATTTTGAAAAAAAATCAAAACAATAAACCTTAAATTAAAAAAATCTAAAATCAGTTGGAAAATAAAAAAGAAAGATCACACTTAATAATATGTAAATATAATATTGAAATAACGTCCAAAATTTCTTTAGAAGTCTTAAGAAAATCTAAAATTAACCAATAAAATCTATGATTGAAAAATGAACAAAAGAAAAAGTGTGTGAAAAAAAACATAGAATATGAAAATATACATAAAAAGAAGGGAAATTGCAGTGGGGAGCAAAAATCTTTTACGTATTTGAAAATATGTTACCTGTTTTAAATTTTCAAATACAACAAAAATTTTCACATATATCAGTTGTATATCAGATACTCATATCAGTAGTATATCAGATGTATATTACATAGATATTGCAAGTATATTAGACACTCATATCAGTAGTATATTATACACATATATCAGTAGTAAGATATATTACAGATATATATAATTTGGGTAAAGTTGTCATTCTAAAATTGGACCTCCGTTTTTTCTAAAAAGTGCTATATTTGAAAAAACTAAATATAATTACTATTTTGCTAATTTTACTAAATGCTTTTGACATATTTGCAACTATCCCTGAATAGAAAAGAGGAATAAAAATCATGTCTAAATTTAGGGGGAAAAAAAGACCAAAAATCCTCTAGCTCACCAACAAACATATGAACAGAAAGTACAATAGATTAATTCCCTAAACATCCTCCTCAAATTGATGGATCAGTTTGGAAGATAACAAGCACAAAATATCCACAGACAATGGCTTAGTAAACAAATCGACCTTACTAAACTCTTGCATCCTTACACTTTCTCAGGAACAAAATGAAAATCAATCTCATTACACTTTCTCAGGAACAAAATGAAAATCAATCTCAATGTATTTTATTTGAGCATGAGCATAAATCCCAGGATTCATGACAAGGAAAGATTAGAGAACTTATTGGCACAATAAAGTAGGCACCAAAGACAAATAGAGATCGATTCTTTCTTGTTACTCCAGCTAGTCACTATTGTTCCAGTAAAAACTTGCTACACAGTAAAAATATCTAAATCAGCAATTGCAATCATGAAATAGTTTCTATAGAAGCAATTACCCCAAGTCAGTGAGTAATTAGCTATGGGGTTTTTGGTATGATATTTATCAATGGGCAAAAGTTTCTTCATTCGATCCACACCAATTTACAAATAACAATTTTCAAAGATCTTATATTCATAATCTTACAGAGAAGCTTTATACATACAATCACTTACAACTGGCTACGGTTAACTATATATAATCAATCACTCAGCTGGCTGCTGATGTACTAAAGAATCAGCAGGCTGGGTGGGATCCAACCCAGGAAAAGGAGAAAAAAATAAAATAAAATAAACCTACAACTTTGCTGGGCCTCCCAAATATAGGACCCCTGGATCTTCTTTACAGGCAAAAGCACTTGTATTAAGGATAGGACATGGGTGGTTGCTTCATCCCACATAGGCATTCTCCTTGGAGTCTTGGGCAGACTTTATTCTAGTTGAAGGAGGAGGAAGAGGAATAGGAAGAGGCAGTTGCTCCAACTCCGAACGCGATGGTTCTGATTCTATTTTAACTCCGCTCAAGGGGGCAGGGACCAGGACGGTGCCGGGGACCTCTTCTGCTGGCTTAGGTGTGTAGCTGAAAGAGAGTTCTTTGTTAACGGCAAGTGCCACAAGTTCTTTCTCCTCCAACCCTTTGGTGGGACCAATGCTGCAGCGATCGGTGTTGTGCTTGGCTAATGCATCCTTAAATTTCTTGATCTGTGATATTCAGACCAATTCTTTGTCAATCAACCGTTGGAGGAACAAGTGTATCATCAGAGACAAAACAAAAATTTGATACTTATGAGGCAGATGAAACCACAAGACTGATCTACGCCAAACAAAAAAAAAACATTTCTAATACAGTTCGAACGACAAATTGAAACAGATAAATGACAGGCAACTTCACCAAAAGGACAAAGATACTACATCCTAATCTATTAGTACCAAAAGCAACTTCTAGTTAAGAGACTGAATTGAGGAAAAACCCAAAGCATTTAGGAAGAGCACGCTTCTTCATTCTCACTCAAATATTATGATGATATTAAAACGGCAGGACACACCCAAGTTCCAACCTATTCAAAGATTCTTACCGTCACATTAGTACAGCTGAAGCTGCAAAGACGACCATGAGCACCTCTGTAAAAGCGAAAAAAGGGCAGCACATGGACACCAAGACTGTAACACATGGATTTGTGCTCTTCATAGTTCACTTGCAAAAATTGAACATCCGGATTCATCTCAGCAAATTGGCATATCTGCATATCACATGCAAGCTTTTAGGACTAGGAAAACTTGGAAAACCATTTTTCTGGACTACAAAGAATGAGGGTGACCTTCGGGTGAAGAGCTTTGCAGCCACCACAACCAGGGGAGAAGAAATCTACGATAACAAGCTTATCCCCAGCATTTAAAAGAGATTCCACAAGGTCGTGTGCACCAGTCACCTCTTTCATATTAGGTTGTAACCCTTTTTCCCACCATTTCTGAGCTTTCGGAATCCGCAAGCCACTCTATTAAATAGCAACAAAAGGGTTTATAAACAAAATGGACAATAGATTCTTTACATAATTAAGTGGTAACCAAGAAAGAACACAAAAAATAACAAAAGTAGATTCTTCCATATCTGAAATATCAATTTAGGTGAACGGAAATTCAGAAGTACAAAATCCAGAAAAGTAAGAGGACAGAAAACAGAGTTCTGTCCACAATCACCCAGATCACAACAAGAAGATATAGTTGAGTTTCACAATCACAATCCAATAAAGATAAAAACACAGAGAAGCTAATAACAGTCGAGAGATAAATATCTATCTGGGTTCACAAAGATTAAAGCAAAGGACAGATACCTTAGGTTCTAACAATAAGTAAACACAAAAAACAAATCACGAAGAAATTTAACCTAGAGGAAACATATAAATTGACAGTAGAAGCCGTATATTGCAAAATAAAAAACCCTATTATCAGAAGAAGGGTGAAAATACAAGGGCTTTGAAATTAAAATTAGGGACAGCGGTACCAACATGGGATGTCGTCGAAAATCGCGCAGGAGAAACATAGCTCTCGGAGAGGGCGCCCTTGGCTTCTCGAAAATCGATTCCTCTGCCATAGGAGTCGCCGCTCGAAAAGGGCCGCGAGGTGGACGGTAATTTCACAAAGAGCCGCTGCCAATTCAAGGAACGCGAAGAAGAAGAAGAAGCGGCGACGGATTTAAGGCAGCAAACAGGAGGGGGAAGATGACGAGAAGAAGAATAGGAACGAGAAGGGGGAGGAAAATTGGTCTTGCTGAGAGCATCGGCCATTAAAATCGACGATTATTCGCTTGAAATCGGTCCGATTGAAGTGGGAATCGAATCTGGAGGGGCGCGATGATCGGGATTGGGATCGAGAGGGGGGGCGCTGTCATGAATCGAAGAAGAAGAAAAGGGGGAAAAGGGGGAGAGAAGTTTCTAGGCGAAGACTTGGATAAGGGAAGATGAAGATCGCGTAATTTTCGAGTTTTGTGGATATAAAAAGGTGAAAGTGCAGAGCAGAACACGGAGCCTTCGGCACACGTGGCGCCACCAGGACAGAGACTGAAATGGATATTATTTTGTCTAATTTCATTATGGATAAAAAAATAGATAACATT